AAGTTAATAAGAGTTCATTAGGCAATTACCCCAAAATACGAGATTTGAGAGAGCTGCATAATCTCAGAATACTTATCATTACTCAGAACTGGCAAGCCAAACAGTAATTGTCAGTCAGTCTTCCAGAAAACCTCTTCACTGTTATGAATACAATAGTAAAACTGACTGACCTGACTTAACGGTTTTAGTAAACGAGGGAATTCTTTGCTTGAATGGATCGGTTTGGTAAGTCCATTAGGATAATCGCTGAGGTTAGAGCTGTTGCCAGGTGTAATCAAATTACAAAATTTGGGTGCACTCCTCTATACTGTCTAGAGCGAGGAAGCGATGGAGAAAGATTTATTCACTTGAATACGAGGAGGGGCTAAAAAAGGACCCGTTAGATAAACCTTATGCAAGTTTCGAAAGCATCTGCTACGGAAAACATCCCTTGTTACATGCATTGGCAAAGAAAACTTGTAAACACTTGCAACGGAAAAATCTCAGTATAAGGTTTAAGGTTAAACCATTTAAGGTTCCCGTGATAATTGTTTATAGAGATAAGAAATATAGTACTTATCATCTTCTCCCCGCCAAAAAAACTTAGAAAAAGGAAAGGTTCTCCACGTTTCCATACATTAAGTCCGCTTTGCAATATGTTCCATCAGTTTGGTTATCTGTTGACAATCGTTCAATCACGATTGCATATTGGGATGTTTAGGAACCTCTGAACAACTGCCCACTTGACGCAGTCGCACATTCTGGCACACTAGATACTAGTAGACCTCAGAGATGTTTTCTTATGCCGATAAACAACGTGAACCACGTTTTCAGAAATTTGACGAGGGGCGTGCACATGGTTTGGTGTGATCCAAATGTTCCTTCACTCCTAAATATTACAAAAAATTTTGTCACGTTTTCCATTTTCGTGGCCACAAGAAACTTGCTGGTGTATAATTGCGGCCTAAATCGCCAATAGATAATATGGAACTACTTTAGAAAAAGAGGCAAATTAGTATTTCAGACATCATGAAACGAATCGAGACGGCATTGTTTTCATTTTTGCCAAATTTTTGCTTCCTCTACAGTGAGCCAGATAAGTCGATATTTTTTAGGAAGAGGATTTAAATTCAAACATAAATTTCAATTTGTATGCGAATGTTCTCATTGTTCACATTTTGGAGTACGAAGGAGAAACTGCTTTAAAATCGCAAATAAAAAATGTTAGCATAAGTAATGGGATTCGATTTGTTTCTTCATCACAAACGGACTTACTGCACCTTCTAATGAAAGGCGAAATATGAATGAAGTTGGTGATCGATCATTGAATATCTTGGATAATTCATGCTCTGAAATCGACGAATTCTATTTCTTCCAATATATAAAATTATTATGTTGTACCACCTTTAAGTCTGTCTGATGCAAACCCATTGTTAAGGTAATCAACAACTATAGTAGTTACCTAGTAAAAGTATTGTGGACGTGTTCCTCCAACACCTCAAAATTAGATATGGTTTATTTGTCTTGCAAATCGTTCCAAAACAAATGAATGCTTTAGTTACCGACGAATTCAACCCGTGAAATAAGACAGGCTAAAACTTACGCGAAATTAGACTAAATCTAAAATAATATAGCCAATTTCTTTAAATCAATGAAATAATTTCTACTATGATTCTTTGCCGCATCTAAACTTCAGTTTAGTTTTTACTTGTTTATGTTGATTTTTATAATTTTTTTTAAAGCACTCGATCAAACACCAGGTGATTCTTGTATTCTGGACCAATCGCAACGAAGCAGCTGATTGAAAGTTAATTATGTAATGTGGAAATTATTTTTTTGAAGGAAATGCACTGAGAACAGCCACAATTTGTTTTCAATTTGCTTTAATTCAGCGGGTTATTTCTAGAAGTTTATTAGTCAACGTTGTCTACATGTCTGTGAAGGCGGCAGCTACTTCAAAGGGGATGCTGTTTTAAGGCTCTTTCTGTTCAAGAGGTATGATTTATTGAGAATAAGCTGTCGGATAAAATGCGCCTACAATCAACTAGGTAATAATTTCAATGTGGGAAGTCAAACAACACTTGAAGACGGTAGTGATAGACATGGATAGCTGAGAATGAAGCCATATCGCTAAATTAATATATGAACAAATAGACCCTAACTCGCCATGACTGAATTAAGAACTTTCGGAGCAGATTCGAAGGTGCTGGTTGAACCAGAAATAAAATAAAAGCCTTCTTGACCAAAGCATTGAGGTAGGTATAGAAGGTTTTATTCATTGTAGGTCACCTTATGCAAATTACGCGAAGTAAAGTGTTTCTCTCTATTACTTTTGTCGTAACAAAGACACTAAACAACATGCATATAATTATGAATTTACACTGCTGTCCTGAGATGATAGTCAAAGATATCATCCATATGCGAAAGTTTTCCCCTATGAGTGAAAAAAAAAATAAAGATTGGAAAAAAGGTATATTTGCTCTTTCAAACAGCTGAAAATGGAAACTTAAATTTTTAAAATTCTCCTCAACGATTCATTTCACCTGCATCAAGTTCACGTTGATAATTAGCTAAAAGCTTCTCTCATTCGCAACACAAAATTGTTGACTTGGCTATTACTATCCCTGCGTTAATTGTGTACAGAAGAATATCTTTTTTACACCAGAGACTTTGTCGCCGGAAGTATATATATGTATGTATAAAATTTCATACTCACTTGAAGAGCCTCACATTTTTTTTTTCTTTTGCGCTCAAAGAAGGCTTATATGATAGTTGTAAAGCTTCAGGGGACGAAAAACTTTTGTTTTCTCAGTTCATATGTTTATGACATCATTAGCAAAGAATAAATTGCTGGTTAAGAGTATGGACAAGCAAAGTAACCAAACCAAAATTGAGCTCTAGCAATATCTAAGAGATTTGAACTGATTGCTAAACGTGATTAAAGACTAGAATCGAAAAAAAAATTACTATGTAATCTTTGACACGCGCGGCGCTGGCAGAGAAGTTTCTGATTTTACACATCGTAACGCTGCCGGCATATTCACGGTTTTTACCAACTTTTTATACTTATGCCTTGCGCATGTAACGTTAGTTTGCGAAACTATTTTGATTTTTTTATTGATTTATTTCACCACCATGTAAGCATACAAGAGGAACACATTTACAGAAGGAATATATAAAGGGAAAAAAGGGCAAGAGATAGATTTACTCGTAACACCATTCCTTGATTGATAAAAAGATTTATAAAAAATATCAAAGCAGTGCGTAAGATAAATAAAGCAAAACAAATAATGATAATAGTCATTATTATCATTATTTTCCCATTAGATATGAGAAAATTAGATTCAGGAAAAAATCAACATAAATATAACACACAATTGATACACATACACACTACAAAACAAATAAAATGTGTGTAGTATGCTTGTAGGAAAGTATGTTCAACAAAAGTTACACTACCCAAACACCAATATTTACCATATATTACCATATTTATCATATTACGAGCATTCCCTCTCTACAAGGCTTATATGCTCGGATTCGGTCAGGTTCGTAAAGGTTCTTCTAGGGCAGACCACAACACCAACACGTTCCCCACACTTTGCGATGAGTGTGTGGGTTCTTTAACGTCCCCCACTAACTAGTACCGAGTAGATGCAGGAGACGGAGCCTACGAGAACACTAGAATGTCTAACCGCTTGCAGATATCAAAGGCAGCACATTCTCCTCAGTTATTTTAAGACCCTGAGTGTGGGTTCGGTCCGGGCCTTGAACCCCGACCTCCCGCTCAGTAGTCCGCTGCTCATCTACATGAGCTAACCAGGCGGCGGTAAGGGTTAGGTTTAGCAAACAATTCCTTATTTTTTTTTTCACGTCTCATTCTCTGCCATTTCTTTACGTACATATTTTATTCAATTTTTTGTTTTTTGGACAGAAAGTTAATTCGCCGAATCAATTTGATTAGAGAGAGAAAAAGCAGACAGGAATCTGCAGTTTTTTCAATTGCAGGTGTCTTTTGAGGATCAGCTAGTAGTTATGCTCTCAAGAATTTTGTTTTCCTTTGTGAGTCCTGGGTAATTCACTTGACCTGCACCCAAAAATAGATAGACAGAAAACATATTAATTAAATAAGACAAAAAGATAAAATCAAAGATGAACAGAATCGAAATAGGGTAACAAAGCCCCCGGTAACATCGATTTTAACATTGAATATTTAAAGCGCCTCAGAATATCTTTGGAATTAATAAAATAACAAAAGACTTTCATTGTTAGAAAAGCTATTTATTGTTCATACCATTATTTGTGTAAGAATCTGTAGAACGCGTTTGTACATTGATCGCGCGCGGCAATTTAGAAGACACAAAGACATCTAATTTCTCAAGTTTCATTGTCCTGACAGGGCAATATATTGATGCCATTGGCTGGTAAGTGAATAACTTGTCAACTTAATAACAAAAGAGGCTACGATATTGTGCAGTTTTTAATTTTGATGTTACAGGTTCTGAATGGGACCACAAAAGCGCTCGTTTGACGACTCAAATCGACAGTTAAGAGAATGACCTTGACATTACGGCAATTATCATCTCCCCCTCAAGGTTTATATCAAATAACTAAATTTTATCCTTTGAGTTTTCGAATTGATATTAAGAATTTTACTTTGCAGGATCAAGCAAAATCTTTCCTTTTTAATTAGTGGCTTCTGATGCTCTTAGTGCGACTTAATTCCAGCTTCATGCATAGCTAACAAAAAGATTTCCGACACAGAATGGTCGATCGACATCCTAAGGCAAATACTAATAATATGTTCTATGGCCTATATCATCAAAATTTACTTAGGGGAAATAATGTCAACAAACATTTACAGCAATATGTTATTACTTCCTCCATAGAATTTTTCCTTTCGAGCAACAAATGGTTTCCACGCAATTGTATCAGCCAATAAGAGGCCTTTGCGTTTATCTTAGATATGCAAGGCCACTCAAGACAAATTCTAATCAGTTTGTGTTCAATAAGGCTTTTAATAACCCTCTGCTTGTGAGAAGTCAAGATGTCGACGGTCAGATCTGCGCTCGGAATGTCTGGCTCGGCGTAAATGTTTAAGGTACATTTTCAAGGTAGGAAATTCTTGTTATTATAAAATGCCGGCGATAGGGCAATAATATTTGTGGATTTTGTTTAACAAGAAGCATCGTCTCTTGTCCGCGGAAACTAGACTAATTACATGGGAAAAAGACCACTGAAATATTTCCCTGTACCGATGTATTCTTCAGATAAAAGCCGACGGAACTCATTTACCAAATGATATTCTTTACTATGAAAATATAGCAAATCGTTTTTCAGATTTTAATTTAAGTGCGAGCGCAAGAGACAATCTGACGAAATTATATCATAGCTCGAATTCTTCACCTAACAATTCGAAATTATGTCTTTTTTGCTAAGCCATAGAGGTTGATCTCGTTAACCAAGGTTAATGCTCGACTTTGAATTTCAATTTCTTTTGATAAAAAGAAATGTTGCTATACTCATAAAACAGCGAGAAGTTGAAATTACTGTCAGCTTTGCACCCTTCAAAAACATACAATACACAAACGCAACTAAATATATACCGAATACTACGTCAATAACGGAGAATCGCACGTGAAAAAACTCTGGAGAATTAAGAAAATCAAACAACAATACCAAATGCTTTTACTTAGAGACAGTACCCAAGAAATACTTTTCTTTATTAGCGCAGTTAGAAGATATAACAATAAAGGAAATGCAAAATCGATAAGGAGCTTTTATTCCGATGTCTGAAAGAAATTTGCATGTGCCACCGAGAAAGTCAAGTGACAGTTGGTGTTATAAATTTAAAAAAGATGGATATTGAAACTAATTACCAGAAAAATGTCATATAAACTAATTCAAATGTCCGGTCTTATCGACGGCGATTGGTTAAGGTAATCATGAACACGGTTGAGAATATCAGGTACTGTCGGTAGGAATGGCTTTCACTGTAGACAAGGCTTCAACTGAGAAAATAATTAAAAACCGCTGTTAATCGAAACTCGAAACTCTCAGAAGGAAAAATCCATCTTTTCGATTCACTGGGCCCCAAATAGGCTCTAGCTATCATTAGACGCGGGTGTTTGAAACGAGACTTGAGCTTTTTAGGTTTTTCTCACTTGTTTCCCAAAACCTTGACTGACGATTCAATATCGACCTATTGTTCACTGCTTTTGTCAGAGATAAGTAAAAGCGCAATCTGTGAGGTGAAAATCCAATTAAAGTGGCCTGAATTAAAAACAATTTAGGGGAAGAGGAATCAGTGAAACTCGGATCTCGACGGGCAAAGGCTACCAAGGAGAAACTATTCCTGGTGGGCGAGTTACGTAAAAATCGCGGTTGCACTTTTGGTATTAATGTATCAATACCCTGCTAAGAGAACGCAAACTCTCTAGACATGAAATGAATCTTAATTGTCGTCTTCGATATTGTGAGTCAAACAACCACCCGCACAGAGTCTTAAATACATTAATTCATTTTGGCGTTTGTACCATTGTACCATTTACCATTAGCGCGGACCATGAAGCTTACACTGATGAAAGCTGCTCGTTTTCCGACAGTAAAGGTTAAACTGACCTCTAGTCTTCGCGACTGCTGCATCTTATATTCTAACAAACTATTTGCTTTCGAATGCTCATTTTCGAGAACATAAGTTCACACAACCTGGGAAGATGTTTACTTTATACAAAACTGAAATTGTGGGTGTCACATTATGTTCTTGTGATTTAGAATTCTGCAAATATTTTTGCATGAGCTCTACTTCCGACAAGTATAGAAAAAATATGCATAATTTTTAAAAGCAGCTTGATCATTATCTGCGTAATAATTGTTCTACAGATATGGAAATTCAAAATTGGAAAATTAAATTTCGCGATGAAGTGAAAGGACCGTGAAAACGCACAGACTGGTACATTACTTTTCCAAGTATTTGATAAAATCTTTTGCCGTATAATTAAGGGTTGAATGGCTTGCAATTGTATCAAAGAAATAGCAAAAGAGCGTTCAGCTAAGTTTAGTATAAACAAAGAAACTACACATTCGATGCAAATACGGAAACAATAGCCGTAGAATTAAAAGTGACAAGCTATCCTCGACTTAAAAAAAAAAAAAAGTGCAAAACTGAACGAGACAGGGCAGAATGATCTTTCACAAACGAGAAGCAAAACAAGGGGGGGGGGTCATAGGAAATCCTCTCTGTAAATGGCAGGTAATTTTGTTTGCCCCATGCGTCGCTTCCACGGCTGTTTTGTTCGACGAGTTCAGAACAATTCATGCTCGTCACAAGAAATTTGCGAAAATCTTGATGTTCACTGAATGTTTTTCAATTTCCTTAAATTTTTGTATCTTTGCATATCCGTAGGTTAAGACCCGTAGCAGTTTTCAGTGTTTCAGTGATCAGCTAGAGAAGAAAAAAAAAAAAATTCATAGTGGAACGATGAACATAATAGGAAAACGGAATAATTTAAATAGAGGTTACCATTGTCTTATTTTGCTTCTTCTAGAAAACTAGTAGAGGTCACTTTCAAAAACCGAACTGCGAACGTCTCTTAATTAAGAGAGCTGTGATCGAGTGCAAATCCAAAAGGTATCTATGGTTTCTACATATAAGGTCTGATGATTAAGCTGTAGACCACATGTTAGTCTAAATGCATTTCACTGTACGATAAATATTAGAAAACTGGACTGATTTGGTATCAACTTTAATATGGTGTTCGACTGGGCTTTTTTTATTAGAGATGTTATCATCTGTATTCCTTTCTTTCGTCAACATTGGCATAACACGTATGCTAGCTATATAAGAGGAAAATGAGAACTCAAAGGTAAAGGATCGAAGATTAAAAATTAATTGATATTTTTAAGGTAAAAGGTTGCAAATGGCGTATGACTCGTGCTCTTTAGTAATATTTTTATGAGCTTAATTTATCCATTTTCACGGATGATCGACAAATGAAAAGCTTCTCGTAAGTTAATTTCCACCGATAGACAGGTTGTCAAAGAAAATTAACAATTTAAAAAACACACTTGTTTCTGGATGAGCACAAAAAAACAGGCTTGAACAACAGTGATGAGCGTCGAATACAATGCTCGGAATTACTTCCTATTCTCCACTGAGATAACTAAGCTAATCTCCAATTTGGCGAAGACTTCAACATCGAGAAAATATCAAAATTTATTTCGCGTCGTAGAAGTAGCAATATAGTTTACAAGTAACAAAACCTGAATGAAAATGGCACCCGTAAACAAACTATTTCACATTATCCAAAAAAGATTCATTTCCGTCGAAAAAAGTGAATTATCTACGTTTTCTCTAAAGCAACAAGAGCAACTGAATATTGACAAATTTTGTCTCTTGTTTAATGAAAATTGCAAAAGCTAAAAGTTGAATATTATTTTTATGTTTTATCATCTTAAGTAAAGGATTACTCTGTCACAAATGTGAGGACCTATTTAGAAACAGATCCGCGGTACTATGTGCAATTTATTTCCATATAGGCCCAGAGTTTTTCTTTTCTGAACAGCGGAAGACTACAGAAGAAAAAACACTTCAAAATACTTAAATTTGTCATAGCAAGTTCAATCAGGCAAAAAAGGGGACTGTGGTAATTTATTGAAACGATTCAATTTCACCAAAGTTAAGAGAATCAGTCAAATGAGCCTCAAATATGAATTAAAATAATTCATGAAATTTTCCTTTTAAGTTGCCGGGAGGCGAGATTCTCTGTCAGCGCAATAATGTAATGCTAAAACCATAAAGTTCCGTCGTGGATTACGCCCATTAAAAACATATAATACAGATAAAATCCCGTTTGTTTTACTAATACTGACAAAAAAAATATATGATCATCTATTTCAAGTATATGTGATTCAATTGGAAGTTTTATTTCACATAATTACAGAGAAGGAAATTAATAAAGCTCTTTAGATTTTAGTTTGTCTCAACGCAGACTCAGTACTTCAAAAATTTATACAAAAATCATTCAAATAAAGTTTTCAGCTGGTGGCCGCGTCAAGTGTCACTCATGTTCGATAATCTCAAGAATATTCTTAACGTGAATCACTCGGGTCGCCCCCGAAGTCGACTCGCGAGAGAAAAGATATCAACACTCACTCAAGTGGAGTCTTCATGAAAGGTCAGCATTTTTTTAATTGACAATACCCAAATTCAAGCAGCATTTTATTAACTCTTCTCTACCCCTTTAGAGAGACAAATATAAACAAATAGTCGAAGGGAAGCGAAATTAATGTTTATTCACACACGTCCATAGTCTTCTCTTCGTCTACATAAAAGTTGAACTGCATTCTCCAGCATGTGCTTAGGAATAAAGGTTAATTCCACTGGTTTTGCTTGTTTTTCTCAAATTTCATTCACTCAAAAACTCTCTCTGATATACTAAGAGATCACCTGAGCAGTTCCCTTGAACTGCTGCTACATTCAGTGGAATAGCTTTTGATAGGTGTGTTCCCGTAGGTAACTCGAATAGCGAATTTTATTTTCCTGACCCTCAAATAATGTAAATATTTTCAAGAAGGAACGAATTCAGACGTTAAATTCAGAGAGAGTTATTAGTAGGATAGTGCAACTGCTTTTATATTCCTTTGACATCAACTTATTGTTGGAAAGCTTTATTTAGTACCATAAATAAAACGTTACGGACAAAATACCTGTCGCAGGTACCAAGAAAAAGAACGCAGTTCGCTGCAAAAAAATTATGTGAAGTTCTATAACCTTTAGGGAGTGGAGGAGGTTGAAGGGAAATAATTCACTGGTTTTCACTTTAACCAAACACATATTGAATGGCACCTACAAGTGTATCTGACATACAGTTCTTATTTCTGATCGAAAAAAAAAACATGATGACCCCCGATTAATTGCATTCTTCAAGTTCTTTATAACCTGTACTGATGGAAGAGGATCGCGTATGAGTAACATTTCACCACACTTATAGTAAGGTATATGGTATTGAGCAATAACATCTGCAACTCAACATTCTCATTTTGACATTTAGTGGTAAACTCTGAGTCATAATGATATTTTTGTGGTTCTCAGAGGAAAATTATTGAAACCACGTATACTACTCCGGGCATCCGTTTATAGAGTTTAATTAGAAAGTCTTTGAGAGCTCTTCGCGTGTAGGTATAATCTTCTGTGTTCTTTGCAATGCGTTTCGAGCAATAGGAAGAAAATTAAGAAAGAAAACAAAAATATATCTTTCACATATAGTTAAACTATATTGTTCAAAAGTTTGCATCCTTATAAAGAGGATTTGAAGACCACTTAAATTATGGACTTTTGATTTTCTTTGATGGGTTTGACTGTTTTTCTGGTTTATTTCTCGTGGGCGTAATGATGGAGAAATATAAAATGCACTCTGTTTGACATCCAAATTCTACGTCATTATGCGGTTGAGGGTTAACCAAGACATGACCCTTGGAAGGATTAATTTCAAATAAAGCACACGCAGGCTAAAACGCAAAAATATTTTTTTTTCTAGTTCTCCTTAAAATTATGTAAGCTTTATCAACTTGAAGTTAAAAAAAACCCGCTAGATTATGATGTAAAGTCATTCTTGTAGGGTGATAATTCGGAGGATCCCTAAATTAAACCTTCACCCTCTATTTTGCAAATCATTATTGCAAATCTTGCACATCATAATTTGCGAGATTACTGATAAACATAAAAAACGTGAAAATCAAGCAAAAGCACTGAAAAAGGATGGTAAAGGATATAGAACATTACAACAAACTGCAATTTACCTCCTTCAAAATTTCAGGCGTAATCAGTTGTTAAAGAATTGTAAACTGAACATCTCTCATTTGACGATATCCGAGGCAAATGCGTTCCTGTTATCGTTGTTTGCGATAACCTCCCTTTTCAACTGACATTTCCTATTATCCCCAAAAATTTTAAAAATAACATTTGCGTGCGCTAATAACGGGAATGAAAGATTTCCGCTTCCTAATGAGAACTACAAATGAAAATGGCGACGTGGTCTAATCATATTATTTGGTTTTCATTTGAATTGCTTTAATAATATAATACAATTTTACTTCTGCAGAAATTCTCTCTCTATGGTATTTTTTCTAAGATTAACTTTACCTTGCCGAGGTCTCAATTTTCTCTAGTTAATCCGCCTTATCATTAAATGCCGCGTATTTACATTTTGACGAGGTTGAAATTGATATTTTGGAAGGAAAATAACACGAGTCAATTTTCCTCGAAAAAATTTTTTTCACAAAGTTTAATGTTAAATTCGAATTACTTTGACGTATGTCAATAATTCTTTCTTTAAAACCAACTACGCGTTTGAAATAATGAATTATGTATAATAATGCACAATAAACTTCCGCCCTGTATAAACTTCCGTTCATCTCGAATGCTGATTGGTTACATGACATGCTTATCGGGTTACAATTCACAGAACTTCTATCGTCAAACTTTAAAGAGGATTGGACACAGGCTATAGAAGTCGATTTCAGGTTGTGTTGTAACATGTGAGCTCAAAGAGAAGAGGTTACGTAACACAAGGTAAGCAGGTAGAAGCGGGTCATTTTTATTATTAGCTTGGACAAGGGTGGCTTTTAATGACACTAACCATATGACTATTTTCATTGTTTTCCAAGTCGACGCAAAACAGCGTTGAAAGCGACACAAATGCAACATCAATTTACAATGCATTAGTTACTATTATGACAGGAAGAGACTAAACGGAGAAATGCAATGGGAAATTGCACATTCACTGTTTTTTTCATACTGTCAAAGTCTTGGTAAACATGCTTGACGTGTCCAGTTCATTGAGCACGTACACGATTTGATAAGATTCGAGTATGCTTAACTTTGCATTTAGTGTTAACCTTTAAAAGAAGCTGTTAGTCTAGTTTGGGATTAAAAACTATGGTGAAATTTTTACAAGCAGTGGTCGCTATGTATCGATGCCCCTCATGAAACTATATTGTTTACTTTTTGTTTTGTTCCTTACTGTTTATTTGAATAGGTAGTAGTAAACAATCTGCAACCACTTAGCCTCGTAAAACTCGTAAAAACCCAAACAGACTGAAAAGGAGACAATAGAAATTCAAAATACTTCAGCTTTTAATTGAAGATATTCCTATTGGCTCCTAAAAAAAGTAGTTTTATTGTTGAACAATAGATATTTTTGCCACGAGTTACGAGTAAGACACCACATATGCAAAAAAAGTTAATTTGAATTTTGAAAAGTCTCACACTTGATACATCATAAATAAACGAGTTTCCTATATCCCACACTCTGACCTAGCAGAAGGCGACTATTAGGAAGAGTTTTTATATAACACTCAGCGTTATCTTTTTATTAAAGGAAGTAGATTTTCTTAAGGAACTGTGGTGCTGTGTCGGTGGGGTATTGAAAGATAATTTGTTTTTATCAATTGAGCTGATTAAGTATATTGGCCACCGTAAGGATTTTCTACAGCCGACGTTTCGAGCGTCAGTCCCTTGTCAGACCGAGAAAATGGCGAAGATTGGATTCTCACAATAACGTCGTCGCAGACATTGAAATAAAAAACTGCTTGAGTGCACGCACATAAACTGGGTTTTATTACAGTTTATGCAAATTTTTACCAATGCGCGCATGCGCGTGTCACATATAGTTATTTCGTGACCGCACGAAACCATCATTTTCTTGCAATTGTCGTTGTTGTTAATGTACAGTTGAACCCCGGTAACTCAAATTGCCAAGTGAAATTTAAATTACTTCGAGTTATTGGGGTCTCGAGTTATAAGGGTTTTAAATAAAAAGACCAGAAACACTTGATTAAAGAGGTTTTATACTTATACATGTTTTATTGTGAGATTTCTAGCAATGTAAGAGTACAAAAACGAAAATGAAATCGAAAAAAGGTCAATTTGTCATAACAATAAATAAGTTTATATGCAATCTTCCGGTGCAAAATTTTATGGTTCATTAGTCCGCGAAAGTGAAAGTCGAGTTATCGAGGGTAAAATTACAAAGTAACTGAAGGAAAATAAAAATTGCCTCGAGTTCGCGGGGTTTCGAGTTAGAGGGGTTAAAATTATAGTAAATATATGAAGCAAATCCAAGGGAAATCAGTTTTGCTTCGAGTTAGCGGGGAATTCGAGTTACCGAGGGTTCGAGTTATCGGGGTTCAACTGTAGTTGTTTTTGACAACTATGCTTTTGTTGCAGACTAACTACAAGGATCAGCCCATGTCAAAAACATTAGTCAAAGAAAACCCTTGCAAAGGTACCTGAAGGCTTGATGAATGACACTCCAGTCTAAAAATAGACACAGCAAGTTAAGAACAGAGAGACTCGACAAAAAAATAACGATCAATGTCAGCGGTCGGCGTTTTTGTACGTGGGATAGCACGTTGAAAAAGCATCCAAATACTCTGTTAGGAAGCGATGCGATCAAAGGGTACTTCGACAATGACAAAAATGAGTACTTCCTGGACAGAGACCCTCACATGTTTCGTTACATTCTCAACTACTATCGCGATGGAAAACTACATTATTCCTACGACGACTGCTTCGGAGCTTTCAACGAAGAACTGAGTTTTTACGGAATCGAAGCTGATAATCTAAATGAATGTTGCTGGGAGGAATGTTACAATCTCTCCAAGAAAATTTGTTCTAAAGATCAAGAAGTTTCGAAGTGTTCCTGCAGTGAGCCAGTTCCACGAAAATCTTTCCTTCGAAAATTTTTCTGGAACCTTCTCGAAAACACAGAAAATCCGCCACGAGTAGGAAGATACATTCAAAGCTTTCTCGGTATTCTCATATATATTAGTGTTGTAGGTACAATCGTCGAGACTGAGAGGTGCTGTAAAGATAAAACTTGCGAAGAAACATACCCTCGCTTATTTTTTGCTGTGGATGCGTTCTGCATGATTCTCTTCACCGCTGAATACATCTTTAGACTCTACGCCTCTGAAAACCGTCTTAAATTCATCATTAACAAGATGAACATCGTGGATTTACTGGCAGTTACGCCTTTTTACGTCATTCTAATATTCAATCATTTCTCTCAGGACTCTTCGTCCGCGGTGGAGAACGCGAGCAGTCTAAATGTCCTGCGCATGCTCCGAGTTTTTCGCATTTTCAAGCTCTCACGTCATTCGAAACACATGAGGCAGATGGGAAGGGCGTTAAAACGCGCTATCGTCGACCTAGGGTTCCTGTTCTTTGCATTTCTGTTGACGAACATGGTATTTTCAAGCGTGCTATACTACATCGAACAAATGGAGGCACAGAAGACTAAATTCAAGAGTATTCCAGACAGTATGTGGTACACCATTATTACTATGATGACAGTGGGGTAAGTTCTCTTCATTATTACTTGCCAGTGAAAGGTGTAAATTTTAAATCCTTTTCTCTCATCAAAAAAGTGGCCTCGATTTCTAAAGAGTCAACTTTGACCATACTCTCGGACGAACTCTGGGAGGCTCAGACGATAACTTCGATAGTTACTCATCCCTGAGGGAAAGCGAACTAATTTTCTGCTCTATTCCTATCAAAAGGATCTAAATGAATGTTGCAGTACTTCTTCCATGATTCGAAGTAAAAATAATATGCCCACTTGTTGCAATCCAAACCATTATACTGCTTCATTCTACAAATTACTGCTCGTAATAACCTTATATTACGTATATGCGTTTGACGCACTGAATTCTAAGAAAATCTCACATGACCGAAAACCGCTTTTTGGTGTGTAAATTGAAATAGTGAAAAAGGATGCTTTGATAAAAACGACCCTACTTTCAAATGCCCTAGTTTGAGCCAAAAATATGGCTGACGTGACGTGACGTGACGTCCCGTAAAAACAGTCTATCGTTGGAAATTTAATTCCAGACCAATTACAATATCATTTTCTTAGCTGATTTCAAAATTGTGAGTTCGATGTTAGGAAGCTACTTCCGAGATACCCGAAGCCTCTGGTCTAAAAGGAGGATTGGTACAAAGACTTTGTGATAGGCACTATTTTTTTGTATTCTTGAAATCAAACACGGCTCCCGTAGCTGCGTCTCGCACTTCTCATTTTGAAAGCGAGCGTTTTAAGAACACAAAAGTGGCTTGTTAAATAAGACAACTGAAAAATGTTATTCTGCTTTTCAGGTATGGTGACATGATTCCTATCACTGATCTGGGAAAAATTTTGGGTTCGTTATGCTGCCTCTCAGGTATCATCATGTTGGCTCTTCCAATACCCATAATACAGGAAGGAAGCGCAGAAGTCAGAGAAAAAGAACAACAACAACAAAGCGGCAACAACAATGGCAAGAATGACAGTAACACTCAACAATAAACTGTTTCGAGAGGCGCCTGCTACAAGCAACAGTCTAGCAGTGTTATGAGGACAATCATAAAGCTTTATGGGACATCGTAGTCGCTTGTGTCTGGTCTTGTGTCAAATATATCGTAACTTTATTGAAGAGGCCAAAATATTACCGAAGAACAGTTCAAAAGCGATTATAGCTAAGGATCCTTGTTTTTCAGTGTATACCACTAAGTGATAGCTGACTGATTTTAGCTATGGGTCCCTGTTTTTGATTTTAGCCAAGGATACCTGTTTTTTAGTGTATACCACTATATGATAGCTGACTGAGTTTAGCAAAGGATACTTGTTTTCAGTGCCTACCACTAAATGATAGCTAACTGATTTTAGCTAAGGATACCTATTTTCAGTGTATACAACTACATCATAACTGACTGATTTTAGCCAAGGATACCTGTTTTTTGGTGTATACCACTAAATGATAGCTGACTGATTTTAGCTAAGGATACCTGTTTTCAGTGTATACAACTACATGATAACTGACTGATTTTAGTTAAGGATCCCTGTTTTTTTTGTGTATACCACTACATAATAGCTAATCGATTTTAAGCCAAGAATAACCGTTTTTCAGTGTATACCACTAGCTGACAACCGATGGATTCTGTAAAACAAGGTTACATTGTTACAATTTCTCCATGTTGACTTGAAGGCATCGCAGGATACTTTGCCTTTGATCCCCTTAAAATGGGTTTTAATGAACACAGTGCTAAATAATCTAGTTTTCTAGTAAAAAGAAAAACTGACAACTACTTAATTTGTATGAGTTATGGAATGCAGGGGCATATTGGTAAAGTTTGATACTTCCGTTATTTGTAACCAGCTTAAATCAGTTAAATATACTGTTGAAACTTTGGTGAAAAAGCAAAAGATTGCTCGCATTCTTTCCTTCAGATCATCTTCCTGCTATTAATACAAAATAAGAAGGTCTCAGTGGGGTTAACCGCTAGCCGTAAAACGATCCAAAATTTTAGCCATTAGACGCAAAAAAAGTAAACCGTAAAAATGCTTCCTCTGCGTCATTTTATGTCATTTTGGGTTAACAGTCTCCGTAAAGTGGCCAAAATTTAACCATTAGCTACCACCTCAATAAGACCCTTAAATAAGTGTTTTACCGAAAAAGAAAGTTTTAATAAAACACACAGCCGGAACTTGCATTTATTGAGGGAAAAAAACATGTCTGTTCTCGCGCAATGAAGTCACAGGATATTGGCACTTATGTTCGTTTTAACTCTTAAATCCTTGAGAGAGACCAACATCTAATTTCTCCTTTCAATATCACCCCTGAATCAAACATTAAGGTCATGAGAATAAAGGAAATGACAATCAACTGAATAACCTCTTGATTGTTAAAAAAATTCTCCTTGCCAGCACATTAAGAAATGTATGGTGAACAGTATGGAGAATATGCATAATGATGTTAGGGTGTAAAGGGTTAAGAATACTGAGGATCCACGAAACGAAACGATACAAAAAAAATTTAAAAACAAGACAAAACAAACATTGACATTTATTTTGCGCCTCTTCAAGAGCAGCGAGTTTGAATTTCAATCGACGCAATTTGCCGGGGGGGTGGGGGGGAGGGGGTGAGAGAAGGGTGGGTAGGGGTCCCGTGGAGTACGGAGGTGGCTTGTTGTTTTATTTCCTAATTTTTTTTATGTTATCGTTATCATTATTATTTCTGGATGTTATGTTACAAAGTATCTCTGGTCATAATATAAATTTAGATGTGAAAACGAACGAGACTTTTTTTTTTTAATATTCACAACGAGAGCACACATCTACACGTTTGATTTAGATCTCTCCCCTACTTTGTGTATAAGTGTAAACAGCTGACAGGTGCCATAAATATATCAAAAAAAATAAAGACTACTTCACTTTCTTTTATGGCGAAACTAACCAATCGGTTACAGTAAAGCACAAAATTATATCTAGTTAAGCAAACAATGAAAGCTATTAGCATTTCCGAAAAACTCTAAAATGTGTGCAATTTAAGCAATTTTTCTGTCCGTAAGTGAAAACTAATACTGCAGTTTAATGCATATCGCTGGCTGTATTTCAGTGATCTTTAAAAGCCATCATTGTATTATTTCATCTGGTGAGTAAAATTAGTCCATATGTTGGATCAAAAGCTTGCCTCGTTCTTTAATTTGTAATGATGCATTGTGTTATCAACAACGCGTCTACCACCGCAGGGCGAAAGAACTTTAGCAAGGCGGGAGCTTGATCAATTAACCATGATCAAAGCCAAGACGGGAGCAGAAGATAGCCAGCCGCTAATGCCTTCAACAACTATGGGGCGACACACTCAAGAGGAGAGAAAGAGTACCTCGCTATGGTGCAACAGCGTCAAGAGGTGGACATTTTTAATTATAACCGTCGTAGTTGGTTTGTTCGATTTGGTAACAGACTGGCAGAATTTCATAAAATACGCGTCCCAGCCGGAGGATCTAAAGGAATTCGGTTTAACTGTAGCTGTACTTTATTTCCTCTTTTGCTGTTTCATTGGAGCAGGCATTTATTTCTGGGCTGTTTGGTTAGCTTTCCGAGAATTTAAAGGTAACTTTGACGAGGAGATGCTTAGTCAAGATACAAAATTGCGAGATCGGGTTTATAAAGAAAAAATGTATCTTTCATTGTCGACAATAATTCTGGTAGATTTTCCCTGCTTTCTTCTGAATTTCTTCATTATTTACTGCGACTCGCCTGAAAATGTCGATAGACCAGCTTTTCACCTCGCTTCTTGGCAAACTCTGGCTGTCGTTTCGTCTCTTGTGAGCGTTATCATTTCAATTGCAAGGTTGCTCTGGCTCAATTACATGTATTGCAAGATATTTGGCTGCTTACGAAAGGGCGCTATATTGTCATCTTGTTGTGTATGGGTGAACAACGTACTGGCGTATATGGCTTTGGCAGTAATGTTGTATTTTTTCTTCGGCCAGTTTATTCCGCTGATCATTTCGTTTCATGTTCGTCAGGGTAAGGTATCGAATGGGAAAAACCCAAAAACCGTATCCGTTACGAAGACTTTTACAATTACACTCCACCAAGTCTATTACTATGGCAACAGCACGACCTTTAAAGAACGGCAGATTAATGATACCCTGTTTAATGGGGTGTTCTCAAACGACTTGAAAGCAATGGAAGGTAAGGGGATTGTTGTAAAGCAGAATAGGAAATGTTCTGATATCTTTTATCACGTAAAACCAGTGATCGTAAAAAGTTACAAATGGAATCCCAAGAAGAAAAAATTCGAAAATTCGAGTACAGACTACTATTGGCAATGGAAAGGCACAAATTGCTCGGCTATGATAAGCAACCATGGGGAGATCCTCGTCACTTCTTGTAGACCTGTTTGGTATGAAATCAAGCCAGTTTGGTGTAATTTTACGTACAGAATTGTTTACGACCGGAAGAAGTTTACAACCTCTTACAACGTGACAAATTTGACCGAGAACACATGCGCACCTGTGAGTAAACACTGGATCACTGATGTGCTTAATGAAACCGGTTCAACCGGAAAGCACTTGAGTTACTGCGAAATGGCGTCAAGGAAATGGAAACCGGTTTGGAAACCTGATATTTCTGTATGCTAGTGGTTACAGACCTATTAAAACGGAACCTTAAAGATCAAAAGGGATTAAACATGAAGTTTCCAGATTATTGAGCAACGAGGAGTACCATTGATTGCCTATTCCCTTTCCCCCTGTATTCTGCTGAGTAGTCATTGGATAGTTTTTACCCGTGGTCGAGTATACACACCTTCTCTGCGCATGTAAACCCTGAAATGAATAGAGCAAGGCCCTTCGAGAGTGACCACAACATAGAGAATCCAGCTGGTCGAACCTGACCATAATCAGAGTTTATCATATATAACGAGCTGATTACGCCAATTGATATTCAGAACATCGCAAAAGACAAAAATGCGCTCTCTGCGATGAGTAGGTGGAAGATAACCGTCCTCGTTGTTTGCCTTTAGAAACGTTTTATTTGATATTGAGGCCAGATGTCGTATGACAAGACGAAAAGTTCACGATTTGAACGTGAGGACAAATTTGCGTTGTCACGCAAAACATGCGTTACGATATGACATTCAGCCGTGGTAGACTTACAGAAGGACATTAAAACATACTTGGAAATCTTTGCCTCCGCCGCGGTAGTGTTTTCGGTGATTTAAAAGCTATGAGTAGGAGTAGCTCAAATGGATTGCCTGAGAATACTGGCTATCCCTCTTTGGATGCCCAGTATTTCACATCTATGACTATAAAACCTAGTATGTAAGCGGTATTTTGATTTGAACTGCAGGAGGGAATATGATCCGTCCTCACTGAATTTAAATTATTGTCACGCAATACCTGCTATTTAAGTGATGCTTGACGGTAAACAATGGTCATGATAACAAAACGTTAGAAAAAGAAACGTTTTGTATTTGATTATATTTCGTTTTGCTTACCTTTTGTAGTTGCCTTCATGTCAATTGTTCTTGTGATTTAAACTTCTAAGTCGTCACGGTCTGTGATTTACAGCGGTTTCTGAAATGATCCGGTTTAGTATAAATAAGATTTGCAGCGCGTTCAGCACAAAGATATTGGTAAAAATGGTGTGCTTACCATTTCTTTGATGTTCTTTTATTTGTCTTAGCAGACCGGCTACACTGAAATATCACTTTTTTTTCCGAAAAACGGTTTGTGATAGAAGCGAGGATAGCTCTTTGCAGGCTCAGTGTAAAGTTGAAGCTAGAAATTGCTATTAAAAAAGACCCCGAAGGACTGTTTACCTGTGAATTTAGCACGGAAAGACTTCATCCTGCCAGAGGAGCGAAGGCACTCAGACATTGATGTTTACAACGAGACCATTGTTGCACAACCTCGGCCACTCAAAGTAATTTCAGTTGATCGCATGAGTAACGCGCGGTTCTGTCGTTGTGCTGAGTAACCACTCGTCACAGCTCCAGCCGAAGTGAAACTCTTCAAATGCTACTCAATTTTTAATTTTTCACAGATTAAGTTCGATTCCAATGAGTTTTCCTATTAATTTATAATCAATTATTCAAAAGCTATCAGATGCCGAAATAGAAGTTAACAATTTACTCATTGCCCGTGTTCATTGCCCGTGTTCATTGCTCGTGTTCATTGCTCGTGTTCATTGCCCGTGTTCATTACCAACCGGGCGAGGCCTAGATATTAAAATTGTTAAAGGACGCGGTTTTGTCAACAAAGGTGGTATCAGTTAACTGGCTATCGTTGGTGTTGGAGATAAATCTTAGCGGGAGCTGGATTAAGACCATTGTGATTGGTGTCCTTATGAAAGCAATCCCCTCAATTCTAATTGTAATATTATTCGAATATATTTTTCTAGTTACAGATCGTCATTTGTTGATGTTGCAGAGTATGCGTCCATGGTTTTTTTGTACGCTGAAACGATGCAAACACGTGATTATCATATGGAGTGTCCTGATACCTTAAAGACGATAGAGGACCAATTTTTCTCTCGCTAACACAGCATGATATTTCTAAGCAGTGATCATGGGCGAGTAAGTCAAATATTGATCGCAATAAAACAGAAAATGCGAACTAACTAAACCGAGAGAAAGTTTCATAACCGAGCATTTCTCAAATAAATAACTGAGAATTTTTTGCAATAAAAATTACGTCCATTGTTTGTTTTTGTGTTGTTTCAACGCATTTTTTCGTCTTGACCCTTAGCGCCAACACATTTTACGATCTGTATTAGGGGGTTGTCGATCGTTTTATTTTCATTCATCCATAAAATTGACTTTTCTTGTCAGTATAAAGACTATTGTGTTAATATGATAAACAAAATAATACTTAGTTGCTTGTAGATATGAAATTTCTCTTCTCGTGTTCAACTCGACATCTCACTATTTCGCTGC